TTACACGACAGCCTCATTCTCTCTGAAACTCAAGGTTTCTGAATCTAGGTCTCAGAGTGGAGATTTTCAGGGAACCCCTCACAGAGATGTGAAATGCTCCACAAGTGTGAAGTGGCACATGCGTGCTACAGGCAGCTGCAGGCCAAAATTTTTCTGCACTAACAACAGTTATTGTAGGGCGGCTGTGGCTGAGTGGTTAGAGCAGTCGTCCTCCAGTGTGAGAGTTGGGGGTTCAAATCCACCAGCAGTCACATGCCAAGTGTCCCTGGGCAAGACACTGAATCCCTCATTGCCTCTGATGTGTGTCCCATCAGTGTTTGAATGTGTTAAAGCACTGATTAGTCTCTTTAGAATGATTTGTTCAATTAGCTTTGTAGAGATCTATTAGAGTGCTGTATGAACGAGGCACAGATTGTAGTGTAAAACGCTTTGAGTATCTTGATCCGATAGAAAGGTGCTATATAAGTACAGTCCATTTACCATAATAAATAATAACAGTTATAATAAATGACAACAGTTATAATAAGTGTCAGAGAGCAGTGTTTTGTGCTGCTCACACTTTTTCAGTATGCAGGAGCAAAACTAATAAAATCCAGGCTCCAAAAAGACGTTGGTGTCTTCACCAGTTTGGACGTAACTGTCTTGCAGACGCTTCATGTACAATGAATGCAGCTGAGCATCAGGGTTGCCAGATACGTTTAAAACGTCTTATTTACCCCCTCATTTTCTGTGCATATCTTCAACAAACACAACACACACCTCATCTTAGAATATCTTTACTCAGCACATATGACAGTTTACGTAAAAATACTATTATTTTAAAGCCACGGTACTATAGTTCATAATTTCTTATCTGGCAACCCGACTGACATGGAAACGACAGCGTTTTTTGTGTAAACCAGCTCATTTTTTGTTGATTACCCCCAATAAAGATAAAAAAAACCCACTAATGTTTCCAGAAGTTGTTCTCATGTAAACGGGGCCTTACAGCAGGTAGATCACTTTGACTTGGTCATTGTAAATGGAGCTCCAAGATGAAAAAGTCTGGACACCTCTGATGTAATGGTTCTGTTTTCATAGTCAGAATGTAGGCTGGTTCAGACGAGGAGTGAGCACTGATAGTCACTGACTCAATGGCTGTCCAACAAAAGCTGTTTGATGTTGTTTTGACTTAAAACGCAATGTTTGCATTTATATTTCTTTTCTTGTAATATTGTGTAAAAAGTGTTTTGGATTTTTAATTTTTTTTGTCATATAATTTATATGAGACCTGTCTCATATTTTACAGAACATGAAGGAAGCGTCCCTTTTAGGTCTGTTTTTTTTGTAATTTATATTTTATTAAAGTAAAAACTAAATCCCCCCTCGTTGAAACTGGATTTGGCAAAAGCTGAAATGGATTCTTCAAAGTTCATTCATGCCGTCCTAAATCAGCAGACCTTTCATTTCTTTGCGACGTCCAAAGTGATAGCGCTGGCTGCTCCTGGACATGATCCCAGAGAATGACTTTGGTCTAGACGTGAACGTTTCTCAAATGGGAGGAAGTGAATAGAGGAAAATAAAGCCAGCTAGTGTTGTGTGATTGTTTGTGAAACAATGTGAGCAACATTCCACTGAAAACAACAGAGCCAACACATTCCTCCTTTTAACTGAACACCACCGTATGACCTGCAGGTTTAAAAGCATGTTCACGTCCAGACTTTTCCTGCTCAGCCCAATGACGGACATGTTGAAAAGGCCATTTTGAAACTTGTAATGCTATTTTTCTTTGACTTTGGCATTTAATATTTTCTCACTACTTTCAGCAGAGCTATGGCTGATTCTGATTAATAGTTTAAAAACTTTGTCTGATGACTTTGTCCTTTTATATTTTCTAGTTTTCTAATAATCACACTAGGATTATTTTAACCGTGGCTTTAAACTTGTTACATTGTAACATTTGTTCAGATTGGCTTTTAATTAGTTTTATTTTGTCTTATGTCAAACGCATGTTGCTTTATCTCTCCTTCTGTTTTATCTTTTATCTTTTGTGGTTTTATGTCTTATATTCTGTAAAGCACTTTGTGCTTTCTGATCTGTAACAGGTGCTATATAAATAAAGTTTACCTACTTACTTAGAAGTCATTTCTTAAGATGTTTTGTTTTAATGAGCCATAAAGCCCAATACCCCTTAATGTACTTTCATGTGACCAAACCTCTTATTCTGTTTTTCTGTTTAGCACTTAGAAAAACCACAGGTATGAATAAATCAAGGTTCTTGTCCAGATCCAGTCACTGTTGAGTTTTGCACCAACGTAATAAGAAATGAAAATCCTATGTTCTGTAGAATCTCATGTCCTAGCCAGAAGATAAATAATTATTTTACATTAAAATTTGACTTATCTCCTTTTTTATCCCTCATCCCTCTAATTAACCAGTACACCTGAAAGCCAAGAATAAGTTAACACAACTTTTTTTTTTTCATTACAATTATATGTCACTAATCTTCTGATCTATTCGGCCTTCACTTTTCAAATTACACCAACCATTAATTATTGAATACTGTACATCGTGTTTATGGACATGAACACGGTCATTGATCACTGCAGCAGAAACAAACAGCGACGTGAATGCACACCTGCAGCAAGTCAGCACTGAACATGCAACACACTCTGCACAATGCTGGTGTGAGGCCAGAATCACCTCATGTTTCTATAAATCTGTGTAAAAGTATGTGAAATGTTTAATATGACCTATGGAAGTTATTACTTAACTGGGTTAACTCAGGATAAACCTATGGGAGAAAACTCCTGACTAGAGTCACTTTGAACTAAAATCAAGGGGAATATGTATTTGTTGTTTCACTTTTGTAAAAAAAAAAAATATATATATATATATATACACAGTTTTACTCCCTCAGCTTCTTTCTTCTTCTTTTTTCAAATTTTCACGAGTCCTCCTCCATCTCACGCTGTCCTCTGCATCCTCTGTCCTCTCTCCAACTACAGCACCTCCATACCTCTAACTGCATCATATATCTCCTCTTTGTCTTTTTTCCTGGCAGTTGCATTGTAATATCCTTCTACCAGTATACCCACTGTCCCTCCTCTGGACATGTCCAAACCCCTGTCCCTCCTCTGGACATGTCCAAACCACTGTCCCTCCTCTGGACATGTCCAAACCATCTCAGTGTGTCCTCTCTAACTTTATCTCCCAGTTGTTCAACCTGTGCTGTACCTCTGATTCATCCTTGTCTCTCCTAAGGAGAACCTCATCATCTTAATTTCTGACACTTCCAGTTCTGTCTCCTGTCTTTTTGTCCATGTCTCTGTCTCCAGACCATACAACAGAGCTGGTCTCACCACTGTCTTGTAAACTTTTCCTTTGACCTTTGCTGATACTCTTTTATCACAAATCACTCCTGAAACTTTTTTCCATCCACTCCATCCTGCCTGGACTCTCTTCTTCTCCTCTTTACCACACTCCCCATTTTCCTGGACAGTGGACCCCAAGTCCTTGAAGTCCTGCACCTTTGTGACCTCTGCTCCTTGGTGCCTCACTGTTCCACCTCCTCCCCCTCATTCACACACATGGACTCTGTCTTACTACGGCTGACTTTCATTCCTCTTCTTTCTATACCTCCGCCTCTCCAAGTTCTCTTCCACCTGCTCTCTGTTCTCACCACAGATCACAGCTTCTTTAGCAGTTTTAAATAAATTATGACCCAAATACTTTTTATATTTGTCATTCTTTTCATTAAACTTTCTTTTTCCAAATAGGGTTGAGTGCAGTTTAGAATGTTATGCTTGGGACTTTTTAACCTTTCACTCAAACTTCACACATTTGTTTTCCGCTGTCAGCACCAGACACACATACACTGTTCACAAGTTGTCTCGCAGAAGGGAACGGTGGCCAAAAACGGCTTAATTTCATTATATGGTGATAATCTGAAATTCTTGCAGAGACCAATGGAGAAAAACACCCAACATGAAGCTTCTTGTAGAAATGAGGCCTTCTGTGTGATTACTCATGGACGTACAACAGTTCGCTGTTTTTCACAAGGTCCCGGTTCCTCAGAGAGCCAAAGAGCTGATAGAAACGCACAACCAGATCAGACGCTATACAAGTCTGCACTTTACCCACAGCTGTGCAAATATATCTGAAAGAAACACTCAGGAAATTTAATCTAATTGTTTTGGTTTCCATACCAGCGACCAAAGTGATCCCCATGTTTTCTGCAGGAGGCACAATTCTTGTAAGAATAAATGGACCTCAAGTGGGCCAAGGCCCCAACGGTCATTCAACAACTGCTTCTTTTATTTTAAGAAGCAGGGTTCGTCATTTCACTGTTGGCGTTCATATTTTTACTAAAGCTGTTTATGTTCACGCTTGACTTGAGATCCAGTCGTGTCCTGTTCACTCGCATAACCTGAAGTGAAAGGTTGAAACTTTAGTTGAAGGTTGTGGTTCAGTTAATGTAAATGTAGTGCAGAAGCAGCTTATGTATGTATTTTTGCAGCATGTTCAACTTAGCTGCCATGGCCAAAACAAGCAGCAAATCAAAAAAGATAAATCATAGCTGATCATAAGCGTTTGCATGTGTCAGTATGGGGGGAAAGCATTTGTGCCTTTTAATGTGTTGCTATGAAAGTACATGCAGACTGGCAGTCTCTTCCTCGGTGTGTCTGAGCAGCTATTTCCCAATAAATCCCCTGTCGCAGCATATTAGCTGTTTGCTTGGAATGATTGCAGCTGACGGTATGTCAAGCTTGTTAGTGTTTAGCACTATTGCCCAGAGAGAAGCTCGACATACAGCCGGAGACCGCTTGTGCGTCTTTTCCCACAATTTTCAAGACTTAAATTATTTAAAAACGTGAAAGGCCTAAAGATAATTGTTGTAGATTGTTTTTTGTTTGTTACTGATGATAAACACTGTTTTAGACTCCACATTTAGAGGATAAATTATCTAATCTGAGGCAGTCAGATTATGGTTTAATAACTTCTTTTTTTGTTCTCTGCAGGCTGTCACAGGAAGATGTTTTGGTGACAAGGATTTCCGAGGTGGCCTGCAGAATGGGATCCTGCTATGCGAGTGAGTTAAACTGTGTATGTTTTCCCTCAATCTAAAGGATATCAACATTTATTTCTGTCTTTTTGTTTTATTGTACATTATATATACATACATACATACATACATACATGCATACGTACAAAGGCATTTTAAATCCTTCCCATACTCTTGCAATATTCTAAACAATGTTTCTAAACTCTAAACGCTCTAAAAGAGCACATAATGTCATGATTTCAGCTCCCTGCCTCCTCTGCTCTTTGCCACTTGCAAGCCTCTTGGCCACGCCCACTTATCCTTTCTGCACGGTGAACAGCTGATCAGCTGCAACAGGAAGTTTATCCTGCAGTAAGGGCTGCGCAGAGGTGCAGCAGGTGCTAAATAATTTAAACTATTTTAAATTCCATGCTGATCGTGCGGCTCATCCATCAATCAGCCAATTGTGTGTCATGTCCAATGTTATTTTGAAAAACTGCGATAGAGCAAGTCCACAATAATCAAACTGCAAAGTAGTGAGGGATTACTGTACTTGGTTTGATTAAATTATTTTATTTATTGCCCATACAAGTTTTCCTGTTTATTAATGCTTATATTAGTGTCATGCAAATAAACAAAAAAAGATCAATCTAACTGTCAATCACACTGATTTGTATAGCCTTTAATCAGCTGCTTAATCATCTTATTTGTGCTTTGCATCTCATTGAAAAACAACAAGTCTTTAAAAAAACTCACAACATAACTAGAAAAGCTGTCTTTATAACATTTAACACTTAGTTGTTTTGATGCACATTTATTTATTTGCTATTTTTAGTTTATTTTACAAACTTTTGTTTGCCATAACCAAACCTCAATGAGGTCACATCAGTTTTATAAAATCTTTATATTAATGCAGTAAATTATGTGCCTCCTGCAACAGGACACAGATGTTTATTAATGAGGGCCGTTGTGTGTAATTTTGTGGGCAGAGGAGGAAACATGGAGGTTTTTGTTTTGGGGCTTGTTTTGTGTCTCAGTATTTCCACATTAATTCCTCACGTTTTCCTTCTTTTCATCCGTCTTTGCGTTTTAGAACGCAGTGAATGAACTGTATGTTGGAAATCATCAACACTTTTCACAAAGAAAGTAAAATGTTTTTTGCAAAAAGTCAAAACTTCCTTTAGGTAATAAACATTTTATGTTTAAATCCCCCACATTCGAGAGGTTTATAAAGACATTTTTCTTAAGTCACAAAACTTTAGCTGGCATACAGGCTCTCAGCGATAATTAATTTAAAGAAAAGAAAAAACAGTCAGATTTTATCATTTGAGTTGATAAAACAAAGCACAGTATTCTCTCCATAGAGTAAATTAGTCGCTCTTCCCACACCTACACATTGTTCACGTGGCGCTGAAAACACCCGTCTCCTTCAGTTGCTTTAAACTTATTTTTGGAAATGTATAGTTCACCAGGAAGTCTCTAACTAGACTAGGAAGGCATTAGATGGGCTCAGAGTTCACTGAATGGGGGGCAAAAGGTACTTCATCTCATCTAGAATGCTGGAATGACACGAACATCACAGGACTGTGGATATCTAACACCGTGTACCCAAGAGCTGGTATTCCCTTTACGAGGCAGAGTCATTACAGCGCTTCCTTTGATGAAAACAAGCTCAACAGATGAAATGCGAGACAGAGAGAGGAAAAGACGTTGGGAACTCTGGGGCTATGTAGGAATAATAGTTTGTTGGAATGCACAGTATTTTCCCTGAATGAAACCTTTGCGTTTGTTTAGGTCACAAATACCTTTTGATGTGTGGGTCATTAAGGTATAAAAAATATGTGAACAAACGGATCATAAAGATTGGAAGAGGGGAAGCACTGATGAGGACTGTTGATTTACCAGATGCCACCTAAAACTTTAGATGTTTATATAGTTTGTGTTTGGTATACCTTTTGGCTAAACTTATATATTTTGCTGTTTCAAAATATCCTGATGCATGCTCAGTTAATGTAGGTACAAGACTCTAACCAGGTTTAGTCAGGTCCTCTGGATGAATTCTTCTTTGTTGAAACATTTTATCCAAAAAACCTTTTTCAGTCTGAGGAGCTGCAACAAACTCAATCTTATAAGCAGCACCTTCTCATAGTGGATCATGGATGGATGTTCAGTGCCAGGAGGGGTGTCTGTCTTATGTCGAGGAAACTAAACAGCCACTGGCCAAAAGGATGGACCAGCACAGAAGATCAACATCATCAGGCCAGGACTCGGGGGGGGGGGTGTCTACACACATCTCCAGATTAGAGGTCACTCTTTCAGGGATGATGTTCATATCCTTGATGGAGAGGAACGATGGTTTGAAAGAGGAGTAAAGGAGGCCGTCTTTGTGAAGAGAAACTGTCCATCGTTAAACGGGGGCGGAGCTTCCATGTCTAACGGTCTCCCTCTTACAATGCTGTTATTGCTAGTATCACTCAGCCTCCTGTGAATAGCAAGTGGCCATCAAGCACTAATGATCAATTGTTAAGATGACGGTCTTCCTTTTGCATGTGAACAACTAGTTTTGGATGTTATCACCAAACTGGTTCCATCCAGAAGAGCCATTTTAGGTGGTTCAGACATGTCCAACTGGGAGGAGACCCTGGGGAAGACCCAAAGCACGCTGGAGAGACTAGGTCTCTCAGTTGGCCTATGGACGCCTTGGAGTCATCCCAGAAGAGCTGGAGGAGGTGGATGTGGAAAGAGATGTCTAGGCCTCCCTGCTCAAGCTGCTGCCCCTGCAACCCAACTTCAGAGCAAGCAATGGATGGGTGGATGGATGGATGGATGGATGGATGGATGGATGGATGGATGGACCAGTAAACCGGTTGATCCATTTTGAGACAGTGCTGTTTTTAAGGCTGAGTTTGTTTTCATCTCTTGAGTGAAGAAGTCTTTTGGATAAAAGATGAAACATTTCAACAAGAAGAACCCGTCCAGAGGTCCTGACTCCATCTGGTCATATATATTTATCTGTTCTCTTGCTTGTATTTAAGTTTTACATTTTTTATTAAAATTCTAAGATGCAACTTTTTCCTTTCATGTCTTTTTTTGCCAGATTATTGAGCTCTATTAGGCCCGGCACGGTAAAGAAAATTAACAGACTCCCAACACCCATAGCTGGCCTGGTAAGTGCTGCTACCTTGTACTTTACATTCAAATTCACTTCCAGTCAACAAAACCTGAAACAGTTTGTGGCTCTGTCTGTATCATCTGACCTGTGCCGTTAGTTGCTGTTTTCCATCTTTGTCAAGGTGGTTCATTTCTGCACGTCTTCCTGTTTGTCTCTGCATATTTCCTCCAGAAATACTCTAATTTGAGGTTATCTGATGGGAAACTTGTTCTAACCTGTGGTCTTTTTCCTGTAGATGGATTACTAGGCTTTGTGTTCTGTGTAACATATAATAACAACATGTTGGCGTTTGTCAGGAACCCCCATGTTATACAAAATCCACCCATGTATGAGCTTACGGTTTATAATTTCACTTATTCAATCTTAAAACTCCCAGTAATACATTTGGTACAACTTTTCATGTAATCTCTTAGGATACTTAAAGTGTGTAAAGTTAAGTATTGCCCCTTTTTCTTGCTCTCTGACCATAATTATTCATAAAGATGTAATTCCATATTACCATAATGGAATAGTAGTATAAAATATGCTGTTTGTTTTTGCACACAAACTTCTTTTTAAGATTTATCTGAGTCTTCATCTGTGCAGTTTTTTTTTTTAAGGAGCAGTTTAGTCCCAGCTGCAGCTTTAAATCTGTATGATAGTCAGATGTCCCAGCATTTTTATCAGCCTTGAACGCAGCATTACCTTTGTGAATCTGAAGCGGCAAGAAAATCTCAAAAGTCACATTCACAGACAATCCGTGCACTTGTGTTGACTGGTTCATCAGCAGCGGGCAATTTGTGCGTGTACGTGCACAAACTGTGCATGTTTGTATGCACAAAATATTCCTGCTTGTGCAAATTGAAATGTGTGCATTTGAAAAACTGTTTATGCATTTGTGAATCTTGTGGATCTTATTGCATCAGGTATGTGCGACTACTGTTGAGACCGACGTACCGTCGTACATTTCAGTCGATACAGTCCAGCACAGCGGAGCTCTTTCATACAGACTGAAGACCTTGATCTGAATGAAGTGGCCTTTCAGGACCAGCACATGCAAGTAAACAGAAGCTAGGACATTTGATAGCTTTGGAGCTGAACTCACACTTAATATACTTGAAATTCCTCCCTTATTTGTTGAACAAGATCACTTGAGGGCTGTAAGTATAGATTATGTGAAAATAAGCTTTGCTGATTTTATTTTTAAATCAAGATTAAAACAGGATTTTGGTTCTAACTGTTCAAATTCCTTTACTGATGCACTGGTGTCACAAGCAAAATCATCTCACAAATGGACTTTTTAAATAACAAAGTTGTTCATTCCTGATTAGAATTTATTTTTTGATTTTTATTTTTGCATTAATTTGACCTGTTGGATGTTTGCAGTTAAAAACAACGTTACATAAATTACCTCGGTGGGTTTCACGCCATCCATCGTGCCACAATTTACATCAGTGATGAGTAGAGTTCAGTCAGTAAATATTCACACGTCTGACGTTGAGTTTTTCAATCAGTAGTACCAAGTTTCACACTTTTCAATTTGTCAGGCTTTAACTTTACTACTTTCTTGCAACTCAAATGCATTTTGTTGCTGTTGGGCAGAAAACCGTTCTCTCTAAAGAAGCAATCAGGAAATAGAAAATTATTATTATTATTTTTTTAATATTAAATAAACTGTCTGGTCAGAGGCTCACAAGATCTTTTTGACTCTTTCCATTGATTAGACATTCATAAAACCACAGACGGATGTGAAACGTGACCAACAGAGTTGATTTATGCAAAAACATGAAAATTATGAAAAATGTAGTAACAAGATTTTCTGGATTGGGATTCCAAAGCTCTTCTTTCATTAGTGACTAAATGTGTTTCCTCTGGTCTGTTTTAGAGGTTTATTAGCATTAACTTTCTGCCCCGAGACAGTTTTCTTCAATTCTCTGGTAAATTAGAAACAAAATAAACTGTTATTAGTGCATTTCGCTAACTGGCTGTAAGATTTGTGTGCAGGCGTGCCTTGCTTTTTGAAACCACCCCGCATGCGGTCAGTTTCAGGGTGGGGAGGTGTGACGCAACGTTAGAAATTATTTTCATGATTGGCTGATTAATTTAATGTCAAAGCACCGACCGTTTTGAGGATGTGAAGGGACTGTTTAATGAACTTTAGGGTCGTTTTATGGTTTTTTTTTATAGTTAAAAGTTTCCTCGCCGTTTTGTCTGTTTGTCATGGTATCTCAAACGCAGGCTACTGATGCATGAAACAAATTTAAAAGCAAAATCTCTAATTGGCGTTTACTCGACAACTGAAATACTAAAATAAACAGAATACAGCGATGGATAATTGTCCCAAAGAGCCAATAAACACTCAGCTGAAGACAACATGTTTACATCCAGTTAGCAGTGGGATGATAGTGGGGGCCGGGGTGTGTGTGTAGTTTATCTGAACAATACGACCTTGTATGCTCCGGAAGTTTCATAACTCTGTTTGTGAAGTTCTCGTGCGTTTGCAGAGATTTGTAGTCGTCTTGGCTGTGATGAGAGAAACACAGAACAGGGTGCTGATACCTGACCTACCAAAATAAAACACAGCCCCATCCTCTTCCTGTTTGGGGCTTATTGGGAAAATGAGCCTCTGTGGAGTTTAGACTGTTTGTAATTAAACAGTTCCCTCTGCTCAGACTGTCGGTGTTCATTAAGGGAGGGGGGTTGACGCAACCATCTCTTGGTGGACTCGTGTTTTAAGTAAACAGTCGCGCGCTGGGCGTCTCCATTCAAGGTCAACATCGTAAATGACGTGGTGAAGACACGGTTTCTGTCTAATGTGACGTTTGCAGCATGACAGCTCTATGTAATGACTCCCAGAAAGAAAGAAAAATATTCAACGTGAATTCTTTAGTTTCTTTAATCTACTCTGATCCATATTCAAACCACGTCTTAAACACACCAGTTATTTCCTTTTAAACAGTGTTATTTATTCAATGGATGATGATTTTACATAGAAACCTTGATTTGGTAAAACTACAAGTAAAACATTTTTTCTTCTTGTAATATTTTTGTTTTGTTTTTAAATTGTTTCATTCTTGGTGTTGTCTGCACTTTGTTTTATGACAGAAATAGAAAAAGAAATAGAAAAATAAACCATAACAGATCTATTGTTCTTGTAGACAAAAAAAAAGGTATTTTGGTACAAATGATCGGAATATTTTTATTTTATTTTATTTGAGATTTAGAATAAAATTTGACAAAAATTTTGTTTCTGATATGAATTATTTCTACACAAACGCTACCAATCTTTTACAGTCAAGGCAGCTGATGGACAATGTATATAATTAAGTTTTTTATTTTATTTTATTTTGGGGGGTAGGGGGTGTCAGTGTGTATATTAAATTGAACAAAATATACCAATAGTTTCTTCACAGCAGCTGCTGCTTTATTTTCATTTTACGACTTGGATTTTGTTTGTACAGATCTGATCAATTACCTTTTCATATTTATTTTATTTATTTTTAATTGGAAAAGATCAGCCAATTTAAATTAGTAGGACATACAAAATTGGTCTTTCTGTAACTTGTACATTTATATTTCCTCTTTGATTTTTTTTTATTTTTATATATTTTTTTTGTGCTTTCTTGTCAGAAGCGTAAAAAAACCCAAAAACATTTAATTCCTGCATCAGAACCTGGACTCTGATTCTCTTTCTTGTAAAACCGTTTGTTCTGTTGATCAGATGAAACTCAGTTTAATGCAAGAATGAAGGAATTTCAAATAAAGTCAAAAATGCAAATCTAATCTTACAGTATCCAAACGTAGATGTACTTGATCTGTGGCACTAATCTACAAATTACTACCAAGTTTGCTCCCATCTTTTATAAGCACTGGGGTTGCCAATTGTGTGATAATTATCATGTTTTTAGTTTTAGGGTTTTATAAATGTGCAATTAAGTTTGAGTTTTTAGAAAGCCCAAACAAACAATTGTTTTGACGTTTCAGTGCAACAGAAAATAAAGTTTTTAATTATGCAAACACCAACATGTTGTCAGAATGTCCTCGTGCACCCTTCACCCTCCTGGGTGCACACATTCCTCCCTCCCCTCTTCCTAGCGGGGGGTGCGTGCATGTGTGTGCATGCATGTGTAAACCTCCTCACCATCACCACTGACAAAAGTGCACTTTCTGCACATATGACAGTTTTGGTCAAAATATGTTAGTTTTAGAGAGAATGCACGATAATTCATAATTTCTTATCTGGCAACACTGACAGGATCATAAACGTACTGGCTCTAAGTGTCCACAACATGTTTCTATTTGTTGTGTGAGTTGCTAATTTACCAGTTGTTGTTTTAAGGTCCAGGCTGTTTGTAATTCCAGCCACTGACAAACATGTGATGCGAAGAGTTAGACACCTGAAGTTGTTGGACTTGTCAAGAGAGCAAAACATATGACCCATAAAGCAGTTTTAACCTCCTTTGGCTCCAAATAAACTGTAGAAAACTAAAATGAATGATGGAAATGTATAGAACCCCATTTGTTTATTCAGCTTGTTGCTCTGCTTGTCGTCACTAAAGTAAAACTAGTTGACCAAACGGCTGAGTCCTCTCTCGGAGACGGCTGTGAGTGGTTGTATCTGTGGGTGGGGTTCCCTCACCAGGAGAGCAGCCATGGCTCTGTCCCAACAACACAGGAAGTTGCAGGGTGGGTTTGAGGCACTGTTTTTGCTAGGAATGGAAAAGATCGTGAGAACAAGTGTTTCCAAGTGTGTGTGTCTGTGTGTTTATCAGTTTGTAGTCACGCGTGTATTCTTATGCCTCTCAGCGTGCACATCTAAACCTGCTGTTTGAAGCTCTTAACTAAAAGGGCTGCACTTAACAAATCTTCTCCGAATATGAGAATATAGGAAACATGTGAGCGAGGAAAGAGAGAGTGCCTTGGGCAGTTGAGGTGGAGAGGAAATGTTGACACCCTGAGAAGGAAAGCGAGGGAAGGGCTATGAATGTGGCCCTCTGAAAGACAGAAACAAAAACAAAAAAAAGAGAGAGAGGTTGTGTGTGTGGGGGGGGAGGGAACACGAGAAGAGGACTTGACTCAGGTTGCATCCAACAAAGCATTTGTCAGAGCAGACACCAGGAAAAAGGAGGAAAACCTCTGGGATCTGGACTCTGTGGAATGTAGAAGGAGTAAGGACACCAGACGAGTGAAGAGAGTTGAATAGGAGGACAGAAATGAACAAAGCAACGAGAGAACGAGTGAACGTTGGTGCAGTCTGAGGTAGAAGATGAGCAAAACCCAGACAGAAAAGCTGCTGGTGTCAACTTTCTGCTGAACAGGTATCCAGATTTTCATTTTCATCTTTGCAGGGAACACGTGTAATGACTTTTGATGCCAAACCTTGGTTAACAGAAATACCTTGGAAAAACATTGGATGTGTCCGTTTATTGGCAGTTGACAAGAATATTAACGTGATCATTAACTAGAGAAATTTCATTTCCTGCGAAAATGCAGCGTGAATGCTTACTGCAGAAGAACTTGATGAAAAACAGCTGAAATTAGCTAAAAACGCACTGAAATGTAGCCGAAATGGAAGAACAATCCTAAGTTAGAAGAAGAAAGCAGAAAGAATACATTTGCAGAATTAAGTTTAAATAAGCAAAAAATAGCACAAAAAATTAGAAAATTAGAAAAAAAAAGCTGAAAATAGTTGAAAAGGCAGAAAGAAGCTGAAATTACCATTAGGAAGTGGAAGGAGCTGAAATGAGCTAAAAAATGTGTAATTAGCTAAAAACGTGCTGAAATGTAGCCGAAATGGAAGAACAAGCCTAAGTTAGAAGAAGAAAGCAGAAAGAATACATTTGCAAAATTAAGTTTAAATAAGCAAAAAATAGCACAAAAAATTAGAAAATTAGGGAAAAAAAAAGCTGAAAATAGTTGAAAAGGCAGAAACAAGCTGAAATTACCATTTGGAAGTGGAAGGAGCTGAAATGAGCTAAAAAATGTGTAATTAGCTAAAAAAAAATATTTTTTTTATTTAAAAAAAAAAAAAGCTAAATTTAGCACAAAAACAGCTAAAAGGTAGCTGTAATAGCAGAAAAAGTTGGAACTAACAGAAAAACACTGAAAGGAACATATGGAGCTGAAATTAACTAAAATAAGTTAATTACGCTGAAAGAAGCAGATGAGCACAAGAAATGTAGAAATTATCTGGAAAAAAAAAAAGCCAAAATTAGCATAGAAAAAAAAAATGGCTGAAAAGTAGCTTAAAAAGCAGAAAGAAGCTTAAATTACTGGAAGTGGAGAGAGCACATTTTTGCAGAATTAGGCTGAAACCAGTTGAAATGAGTGGAAGAAAATGTGGAATCAGATGTAAAAGCTTAAATTAGCATAAAAAAACCGTATAGTAGCTGAAATGGTAGAAAAAGCTGAAACTTTGCAGAAATCAGCTGAAAGGAGCATAACAAGCTGACGTTATCAGAAAGAAGTTAGAAGAAGCACAAACATGTTGCAGTTAGCAGAAATAATCTGAAAGGAGCACAAACCAGCTGAAAATAACAGCTGAAAGTAGCTGAAAAAAAGGTTAATTTGCTGAAAGAAGCTGAAGCAGAACAAAATGTGAAAGCAGCAGTAAAAGGTTGTAAACGCATCTAAAGATTTGAAGAATGTAAAATGAGTTCGATTAATTTCCTTTGAGGAAAAAAATGGCAGAAAAGGCTAAATATTTTAAAAAGCTAAAGTTGCACCAATTCCAAAAGTCACAGCAGACGTGTCCTGAAACAGCTGAAAGTTTTTGATTTACAATTTGTTGAAATAGATTTAAAAACTGCGGGATGAGAATGATGCTGAAAAACGTACAGAAGAAAAATGGATCACAACAGAGTGAACGCTTCATGATTCACACAATTCTTACTGAAAGGATGTTGACATGCATAGATTTTTTTCAAATTAATTATAGTCTTTATTAAGAATTAGAACTTTAGGTTTATGTTGAAACAGCTGCTTTGATTAGTTAAAGGCTGTTGGAAGGAAATGTTTGGTTTAACAGTGTGCAACACTGAACAGGTCGAAGCTTCTGTTCATCTCTTCTTTTATTCTGTAATCAAAATGTCCAACCAGTCGTTTTGTGTTTGCAGAGTGGGAGCTGATTGCTCCAGCAGTGAGTAATTATCACTTTGTGTGTGTGATTTATACACAGGACAACCTCAGTGTGTTCCTCCGTGGCTGCGAGGAGTTGGGACTGAAGGGCTCGCAGCTGTTCGATCCAGGAGATCTGCAAGACGCATCAACACGTCCCGCTGCCAAGTAAGACTCGGGCTTTCCATACATTTTGGTGTTTAAAGCAGTGGAAGGCCACATGTTGGATTTAAAATAATTACTGACTGTGGTGTAGCAGCGCTTGTAGAAGAAGAGGAACTAAGGGGTAGTCCGTCTTTATATCGGGTAAGAAATGTTAAAGTCCCACAAAACAAATGCCTAAAAGGATTATTTTGAGATATTTTGATCGTTCCTGCTCAAAAGGCCTCTTTCTCCGAGCACCGTTGGGTGGTTGCACTTGTACTTTTTAAGGCTCTATTTGTTCATTACATTTCCTTCAGTCAGGAGAACTGATTGAAAGGTTTTCAGGTTAGAATTTTGCTTAAATTATTAAGCTTCGTAGAAGTTGGTCTCAATCAACTGTCCAGTCAGAGGACAGATGGACTCGTTACCTTTGAGTTTTGAAGGTTCTAACAGTTGGAACCTTAACAGAAGTAGTTTGGGAACCGAACTACATCTGTTGTTTTAACTGAATAATGAGAGAATTATTGTTCTTTATTTGCTTAGTGGCAGCACGGTGGATCAGTTGGTAGAGCTGCCGCCTCAAATCCCGGCCAGGGATCTTTCTGGGTGTAGTTTGCATGTTCTCTCCGTGCTGCGTTGGTTTTCTCAAAAACCAAAAACATGCATGTTAGACTGATGGTAACTCTAAAGTGTCCCTAGGTGAGAGAGAGAGTGAATGGTTGTTTGTCTCGTTTGTCTCTGTGATGGACTGGAGACCTGTCCAGGGTGTCCCCCGCCTCTCGCACAATGACTGCTGGATATGGGCACCAGTGATTTCCCCACACACACACATGACCTGAAAATGAAGAAGCGGGTGGAGATAATAGACGGATGGATCTGCTTTGTCAATGAACTCGATTAGCTGTTGAACACTTCGCTGGTTTACCTGTTAAAAACTTGCTGTAAAAACTGGTTGTGGTTTTCATTATACGCCTGAAGGGTCACTTTGTGGTACAGTGGGAGTCGTCTGTCCGTCCGACCGTTAAGTTTTCTGGTCCATTCAGCTCCTCTTACTCCTTTAAAGGAATTTGATGAAACTTAGTGGAAAGTGTTATCATGACAGGCTGCATATGTTGTGACAATTATGTGCTGCACCCTTTCATACCGGAGTTATCATCCTGTGCTCTACTTCAAATAGAGAGTTCTTGTCAGCTCACTATGTAGCAGCATACATTACAAACTTTTGTTCTCTTAAAATTAAATCAAGACTTCATTTGGGAAATAGTGATAACACAGATGTCTGAAGATTAGTTTATTAGATGGTGAAAACTCTTTAATAAAAGCCATTGATTAAATGTAGGTTGAAGGTATTTCAAACCCTTCTGCTTTCTCAAGCTCCAGCTTGCGGAGCTTTTTTCATCTCTCTGTAAGTCGTCCTGTCCATCATCTCTCAACTTCAGACAATCAAGCTGTCCACTGCTTCATAAATTAGTGAATGACAGTCAATGGAAGGTTGAGCATGCTTGTCAAGGAAGAAACAATGGCTTATCTGTTTGACACAACGAGTTCTTGTCCAAATACAAACAAAAGAGATTACATCACTCATTGAACCATGACTCCTACTTTGTTGCTTGGTAACAAAGCTGGCTGTTTTTCTTATATATATATATATATACTGTGTATGTTTGTGTGAATGTGTGGGTGTTTCAGTGTTTCGAGCATCACTGGATTATGTGAAGAGTTTCTAACCAGGGTTTTATTCACAGAAGGGTTAAGGAAGCTGTTTGTGGAGACGAGAAGATGAGAACTAATCTTTCTGACCACTTGACTGATTTTGCAACACAAAGGTCTTTCTGTGCATCGATGCGTCTTTGTGTAAACTAATTTATACATAACTCGTTGATTTTGTATCCAATTTTACAAAAACATCCCATTTTACGAGGCGGCACAGTGGCTCAGTTGGTAGAGCTGCTGCATCTTAGCGAGAAGGTTGCCGGATTAAATCCCAGCCGGGGACCTTTCTGGGTGGAGTTTGCACGTTCTCGCCGTGCTGCGTGGGTTTTCTCCGGGTACTCCAGTTTCCTCCCACAGACCAAAAACATGCATGTTAGGTTGAAAATCATCTCTAGGTGAGTCAGAGTTTCTTTATTGTTGTTCCACCACATGTGGTACATGTGGTGGAACGAGATTATGTACACAGGGTCCCAGTTACATCCAACAATAAAATGTAAAATAAAAACAGTGATAAGATCTAAGATGCGTAGTAAGAAAAACATCAACTAAAAATACGCTAAGCACTAGTAGCATAAAAACAATACGCCGAACAGCAGCACGAACATGAGTCTGCGTGAGTGAGACAGTGAATGGTTGTTTGTCTTATTTGTCTCTATGCGTCCCTGTGATGGACCAGAGACCTGTCCAGGGTGTCCCCCGCCTCTCGCACAATGACTGCTGGATATGGGCACCAGTGACCCCCGCGACCCAAAAAGGAAGAAGTGGGTAAAGATAATGGATGGATTCCATTTTGCATTGAGTTGACCTCATTATTCTGGCAGATCCTGATCACCCACTCCATGGTGAGTTCAGGTTGCGTCCATTTTGATGCAGGTATCTGCTGCTCAGATTTAGGTCGAACAGACTGAAAAAGCCATTCATCCCTGCAGCGATCGGGCTTCTAAATGAACAATGATGATTTCTTTACTGTGATTTTAATGTCTCAATGTCTTGTCTAGTACGGATGTTTTGTGTCCCTACTGACTGAAACAAATTGTCCCTTGAGGATAATAAAGCTTCTTCAACTTGAACTTTTACATGTGGTACTGGTGCCAATTTATATTCATGTTATCTTGTTTTCAATCATTTTATTTGTTCAACTACTACATAAAAACATGCAAAGATCAGTGGAGGAGGATCTGACAAACGGTTTATGATCTCATCATGGTGACTCTCCTGACTCTCTCTTTGGGTTTTATGCACCGTTTTGTTGTGAACCAACCTCAGAGAATGACCATGAGCTACCAGTTGTCGGTTCGACGTGGAAGTTTGTCTTTTATTCAGCTCAAAGACTCGCCACATGCACAATTTAAGACTTGGTTGCATTTAGAGGTCAAGACCTTGCTTTGCAGAAACAGTAAAACTCTTAACTAAACTTGGTTTTATGAAGACTATCAGAGGGAAGTAAATAACATCAACTGTTCCACACAAAATTTTTAAAAAAAAAAAGTAAGATTTCATATTTATTTTTTGTTTTCACATGTAAGCACTAGAATATCAGGTTTAAGAAGATTGTAGCTTGTATTTAAATTTCTGATGAGCCTAAAACGCATCTCGTAGATTTCTGTTAAGTCCTCCGAGTTTACTCATTTTGTTTAAAAATAGTTTTCCTACTTTGGAAACTATAGTAAACATGGTAATTCTATAGGACGAGCAAAACAAGGAAAGTCTGTAACATTAGCGCAAGCAGGGAGGAAAGTGTGGTGTCGTTGTTCAAGTGGCTCTGAGCTATTTTCAGTCGTTATGTAATCTGCTGTCGTTCACGATGCTATTTTCTTGCACCTTACCAGTGCAGGAGGCTGCTTCTGTACTTGACTCAGAAGATTCTGGACAAGCATGAACTCTTCTATAAACGGCCTCAGACAAAGAGCTACGCAGATGGGCGGGTTTTGTTTCACTGTGACCTCGGGTTAGAAATCTGTCTTGGTTCTCATCGTGTCAGTTAAGATACATTTCCTTTGCTCTATAGACCAGATAAATTAAAAAAATACAAGTTTGCTCATAAAGATGTGTACGGAGCTGCTACAACTCTTCACTTTCAGAAATTGGGATGAATTTTGACATTCCTCATCCATCCATTATCTTTACCTGCTGCTTCCTTTGAGTTGCGGAGGGTCACTGGTGCCCATATCCAACAGTCACTGTGTTAAAGGCAGGGGACACCCTGGACAGGTCTCAGTCCATCACAGGGACACGTATGCTGCTTTGCCGTTGCTAAGTGCAGCTTCACTCGGCTTTCTCCTCTTGGATCTTCGCAGGTGGAGGTGATTTGCCACTACAGTGGAGGCTGACCTGTTTCCCTGCTCTGGGTGGGATCGTAACTGGTCTTTTTGTGTTCCAGTAACCAAACAGTCCTAAAATCAGACTTCAGTTTAGTTGGCTTATCCTGGCACTGCTTATAAGTCCGGATGTAGCCATGCTGGGCCATCGTCTCCAATATCTCTGGGTAAATGTGTTCATTTCTTGTGGGGGCGTCTGTCAACATGATGAGGAAGTGGAGGTTCAGATGAAGTTTGCAGTTTTGTTGGGCGGGGCATCCTGTGACGTAGCTCTACTGGCTAATCAATGGCCGCTGTCGGCTTATTTCAAAATCAGCTCCTCACTGCAGTCTGCTTGGAACCTCAAACAAGGTGGACCTCTGGGTGGAGTCTGCATGTTCTCTCCGTGTATCTCCGGGTACTCCGGTTTTCTCCCACAGACCAAAAACAGGCATGCTGGGCTGATTGGTAACTCTAAATTGTCCCTAGGTAAGAGAGAGAGAGTGAATGGTTGTTTGTCTTGTTTGTCTCTGTGTGTCCCTGTGATGGACTGGAGACATGTCCAGGGTGTCCCCCGCCTCTCGCACAGTGACTGTTGGATATGGGCACCAGTGACCCAAAAAGGAAGAAGTGGGTAAAGATGATGGATGGATGGATGGATGGATTTTACCTTTTTTTATTTTCAGTGGTCATGGAGAGCAGCTTTCAAAATAAAAACATAATTTAGCAGATTTTTTTTTTTTTTACAACAAATTAATTTATGTAAATAGGTCTCAGTTTTGTACAGCCCTATATCCTCAACTAATATTATGTTGTTGTTTTTATTTGTAAAGGATAACAATTAAAAGAACACATTATTTTGTGTGTCCTTTACAAAAATCTATTGAGAAATCTTTGGCAGATGTTCAGAACTGTTCACCATCGATACTACAATAATAAGCTCCATAGATACTGAATGAAAAGAGAACTTTGTTTATTGTCTGAAGTCTGTAAAGTTGATCTAGTACATTTTGGAATCCAAGATATTCGTAAAGAATAACGGCAGAGAAAAGGAAGCTGTTCTTTTGTTTATTCAGCTGACAGAGGGGAATGAAGGGGAGGAGGAAAGGTTTTCAGATCATTCCCTCAAGCTACTTCTACCTGCATCTTCTCCCATCTTATTCTTTTGTTTCTCTGCTGTCTAAACTCATACAGCTGCAGGTTAGGTGTTACTTTCCTGCTCATTCAGTTTGGCTCCATGACTCCCAGGGCACAGAAACTAACCTGTAAACATCTTTGCAAAGTGGAGCATGAATTTAATTTATTACATTTAACAAGTAGAGGAATTACATTTCATGTGAAAGTGCATTGTGATTAAATGCTGAGAGATGAATGACCACAAAACAAATACTAAACCAGCTGCAACTGAATTGATGAAGCTGAAAAATCACAACACTAGCTAAGAGCTAACATGAATAGAATAATGCTTAAATATAAAAAAGGACCAAAAGAATAACTAAAACATGCAACTAGCAAGACTAGCTTAAAATTAAGAACAGCAAATGCTAAAAGTAGCAAAAGACGAGCTGAAATTAATAGAATAATGGATAAAACCTAAAGCACGACACAGAAATAGAGCAGCAATATTTTTTATATGTGATAAATATTTGTAATTTTGACAAGTTATAAAAACCAAAAGTTCTAGCACCCTTCTGCTGAATGAGCTAAACGTTTTGATCTATGGCTAAAGGCTTGCAGAAGTAGTTGGATGAATAATAACGTGGATGTTGAATCAGCATTCACACAAAAATAGCACATTTTTCAATCAGTTGTTTTAGTTTTGGAGTTTTTGCCTTTTCATTTTTTCTTTTACCGTTTATTTACACAGGTAATCTCATTGAGTCACGGGAACTCGTTTTCAAGAGGGTTTTGTTTGCGTTCAGTTTAGAAATTTGGATCACGTCCTATAAACATAATTGTTTAATTGTTAAACAGAATGTATTTCACACAGTGCGTTTGTTGCTGTGGTGCCAAGAAGCACAGAGTTCAGTTGAAAGATATTCTGAACAATAATCCAGGTAGGAAAATCCAACAAAATTAAGTCAGGTCCGCTGGATGGATAAAAAAAAATAACAACTTGTTGAAACGTTTCGTCTTTTATCCAAATGACTTCTTCAGTCTGAGGAGCTACAACAAACTCAGTCTTATAAATAACCCCATGTCATGGTGAATCAACCAGTTTGTTGCTGACGTCCATAACTAGTTGTTTAAACTAGAACTAGTTCTGGTCGTCAACAACAAACTGGTTGATCCACCATGAGAAGGAGCTATTTATAAGACTGAGTTTGTTGCAGCTCCTCAGACTCGAGAAATCTTTTGGATAAAAGACGAAACGTTTCAACAAGTTTTTTTTTAATCCATTAGATCATTTTAAATATATTTGTCCACACTTTTTGACTAAACAGTTGATTTTTGTTACGCTTCAAAAGAGTAAAACGCCTAACTTTAGTCTCTGATGTGAACAAGCATTCTTGTTGTGACGCTTTGTGTTTTTTTATTAATTCCTCTTATTCTCGAAGGATTTTTTGAAAAAGAAAAAAAAAAGTGTTTCTATGTATAGCACTACTTGATATTTTACAATATCCATAGCATATAATTTTGGTAAAGTCTGAAGCGCTAAGTGGCCACCACTGTGGTGTGTGTGTGTGTGTGCGTGCGTGCACGTTCCCTCTCTGAGCTCATTTAACAGCTCTGACCTTCATCTAGCACTCTGTCACCTGTCATTTCAAAATATCGTGTATAAAAACTCTTTCTTATCCAATGAGCAGTTCAAATGTTCCATTATGACATTTTATTTCTCAGAGCTTCATCAAAACTAAAACCTGAGCTCATTCAGCTGCTGGAACTATTAAATAAATAAAAAAAAAACAGGCAGTGTAAAAGTCTGTTCAATCTGCCTGCTTCGTCTGAGACTGCTGCAGATTTTGGAGTATTTTCAGTAACTTTTACTTTTGATGCTGGTTTTTATTTAAATGTATATTTATTATTATTATTATTGTTATTGTTTTAGTGAAAAACAGCTCCTTCCTCCCAGCAGCTGTTAGACTCTACAACCATCACTGCTCCCAACAAACTCAATAAAGATTAAAAACATGCTGACCTCTGCTCAAACACACACTCTGCCTATACTACTGTACTGTCAATAGTCTGTCCTTATCAATGTTCCAACACATATTGAACATTATTATTGATATTGTTTATCTTATTTCTTATAGATTGTGTTGTTTATTAACATTTAGGAACTTTTGTGTGAAACCTTTTTATCTGTTGCTGCTGTTACACTTGAATTTCCCATCGTGGGACAATAAAGGCTGTTTCTATTCTATTCTAAAACAAACTGTTTGTGGTTTTTCTCCAGGGGAAGTGACGGCAGTCGAAAGCTGAAGAACGTAAGTGTTCCCTTTTTAGATTTCAGTAGAATACGCTTTTTGAGCTCTAAATGTTTTTTTTTTTTGTTTGTTAAATGGAAACCGTTAGCTTTTTGTTTTGTTTTTGCTCATGTCTGATTATCTGATGAACCGGTGAACAGATTTACATTTTGGACTCAGTCCCAGTCAAGATGGACGCCACTGCTAAGCAACCTTAGCACATACAGAAAAAGTACTGGTCAGTTTTAGAGATGTTGGGCTGGAACTGGTGTGGTAGTAGCCGAGAGGCGTTCAAAACGCGCCGTTTGAGCTCTGCATGACAAATTTACCTAGAACTGTAGCACCAAACTGTTAGCAGCAACACTGTCTGTTTGCCTTTTATCTCTTTCTAGCATTTTTTTTTTTAATCCATCCTTTTAATTTGTGTTAAAGATACCTCTTTAAGGAGTCGAACCAGTTCTGTTAGCCCGGCCCACTCTGCAGTTTGCTCTGTTTGCTGACTTCCTCTCCTCCGCTCTCTCTGTGATGCTGGTGTGCAATGAACAAGTTAACGTGTCCCGCTGCAGAGCCTGCTGCTCCTGCCTCCTTGTTTAGCTGAGTAAACACAGTCTGGAGCATTTACAGCGGAGGGAAATGGCTCAGAAACCTATCGGACAGCAATGATTTTCGCCAGGACCTTATTTTGTGACCGGTAGCCGTGCACATGCAAAGGATTTGGATAGCAGCTGTTTCTGCAACACACCAAACGTTGAGGTGAAGAACCCGCATTGAGAGGAATTTGCTGATGTGTTCATGAAGGTGTTGCTTAGCAAACAGATGTGTTGATACCGTGTGAAGAAGACGCCCGATGGGATGTTGCCGGAGTCTTGATGTGTTTGTTTAGCAGGTGAAGGTGTGAAAAAGATGTGCTCGTTGTGTTAGGATAAATGATTTGGTAAATGTTATGAAGAATCCAGAAATGTTCTGATTCATGCTCAGTAATCCAGGTAGAAACATCCAACAAAGTTAAGTCAGGTCCTCTGGACGGTTTCTTTTTGTTGAAACGTTTCTTCTTTCATCCAGAAGACTTCATCAGTCCGAGGAGCCACAACAAACTCAGTCTTATAAATAACACCTTGATATGGTGGGTCAACGGTTTGTTGGTGCTCAGGTGGTTTCTGTAGTCCAGGAATGTATTTACACTTTGTGTTGGTGGATTGTTCCATGCACTTTTATTGTAACTTCACATGTGCATAATTGTTGATTTCACAAGTGCATTTATTTATGTGCACGGTCTGCACCAAGTTTGTTTAAACATACCATATTTTTGGCTATATAAGTCACACCTTTTGCATAAGTTAGCATGCCCTGCGACTTATACCGCAAAGCAACATTTGTTTTTTTCACCCAGTTTTTGGCTGAAATCTGATGATTTCATTCATTCTGACATGGAAAATATTGAACACTACTATTTTCATCCACTAGAGGGCGCTCGAGTAATATGGCAAGCCACGTGTCTCATTAATAGGTAAAGGTGGCTATTAATGAGACACTTGGCTTGTCATACCAAGCCACCTTCGTCTTGCTCCGAAACTCCTGGAGCAAATGTCAAATCAGCTGCATTTCACCGCCCAGGCGAAATGCAGCTAATTTGACCGTCAACGTACATTTATTAAGGAAGCGTTCAACTGAGCTTTGCTGTAATTTCAAGCAAATAAATAATTGTTTTTAAGTGTTAATCTTGTTAAAGTCCTCCCGTGCACACTCCAGCGGTTGCCTTTTGGCAGCCAATTGATTTTTGGCACATCAGCCCACATTTCCAGGTGGTCAGCGGTGACGCAAAATAGATGCGACTTATACGGCAGTGCAACGTGTACGGCAGCAAGTACGGTAGCTGTTGTTTTTTCTTCTGTACAAACTTTGGATGGTTCCTGTGTCTCTGCAGACAGCTGCAGAAACTGATGAAAGAAGTGATGTGCTGCTCATCAGTTCTCTGTAAAACCTCTTGTTGTTGTCATATCTGTCACTCAGAGCTCCTCCGAGGCATGTTTAAACAAATGTTTTCCCTCAGCTACTGTACGTCGGTGCTCGTGTCCAGGTTTGATGTGGTTGGTTCGGTGTGTCATGTGTAAATGATGCTGCCACAGATGTGGGGTGGTTGTCTCTGTGGTTGTGTAATTGTAATCAATATGGATGTTTGAACTCGATGGTAAGCAAGTGGAACACATTTCATGGTGACCTATTTTCCTCGGGACAGGACATTTGTTTTACCGATGACCCTGAAGTGCCATATCTGCTGGCACACACAGACTATAATGAAGTTTAAGCACAGCAGCTGCAGCGTTTCCTTGAACGTGTCATATGCACGATGATGTGTGCATGACTTTGATTTACAAAATTTATTTCGGACTGATTTTAAGCGACTATCAAATTGTTAAGGTTGGATCTCAACGAGCTGAGTGGACGTGCAAAATTCACTCAAAATTTTGAGAAAATTGCAAATAATTATGTGAATTTTCAGATTCCTGAGCATCAAAAAAATACCTCTGGCAATCTTCAGACAAACTGGACATGCCTGTAGCAAAATTCAGTTCGGCTCAAGACTGGTTGGAAATGTCTTCAATGACTTTGTGACTATTACGAGAGACATTTTGTTGCACAAATTTTACAGATATGTTCAGCCACAGCCCTTTTTCAATTCATGCAAGGAAGTTGAGAACCCCACAAAACTGTATCATGCTAGGCTGCCGTCAGGCCCAGGCCTCCTTTGCAAAAGAGATCTGTGATCTCGATGGGAGTTGCCTGGTTAAATAAAGGTTAGTATTTCCTCCTGATTGGTGTATGTCAGTGGTGCCCAGTACATCTATCACAATCTACCAGTCGATCTCAAAGGCTGCTCACCCTTTTCAGCATGTAGGAGCAAAACCAATAAAATCCAGGCTCCAAAGAGACGTTAGTGTATTCACTAGTTTGGACTAACTGTCATGCAGATGCTGCATGCATGATGAGGGTTGCCAGGTAAATTCAAAATGTTTTATTTACCCCCTCCTTTCCTGTGCACGTTTAACAAACACAACACACGCCTCATCTTAAAATATCTTTACTCAGCACATTTGACAGTTTAGGTCAAAATACTATAATTTTAAAGCCACAGTACTGTAGTTCATAATTTCATATCTGGCAACCTGACTGACATGGAAACTACAGCGTTTTAGTGTAAACCGCTCATTTTTTGTTTATTACGCCCAATAAACATTGAAAAACACTAACGTTTCCAGACATTGTTCTCATGTTAACGGGGTAGATCACTTTGACTTGGTCATGGACACCCCTACTGTATGTAGTAGATCCAAAGGTTTCCTTAACTCCTGGCAGACTAATGTAGTCGCAGCACTAATCTGTCTACGCTTCACACACTCACCTTGTAACACAGAAACTTTTAAGGTGTAGTCTTTTAATAATTGTTGTTTTATTAATTTGACAACAATAAAATAAGGTCCTCATTTGGCCAGCCTAACCTGGACAAAGACATTTGTCTCCTTCTTCATACTCCATGCTCTATGACTGATGTCACAGCTGAAACTATTGATAACTATTTGATAGAACATCAGTTACAAAATGTCTAGACTGTTCCTTTAGTCATAGCAACTGGAAAATCTGGTGTGAACAGCTCAGCTCCACTGAGCCATTAATAAAGACAAAGGTTTTATTTTGTCTCAGATTTTACATTTCTACCAGAAACCTTTGCTTTTTGCCTCCTCTGAGCATCTGGCCAGGCTCCTTTCTTGCCCTCCCATCGTATTTGAATGGCAGAAGTTGTTTGCACTGACAGCACAACTGAAATAAACACATTAGGCCACGCTGGGCTTTCCTATCACAGCCGTCCCTGTGGAGCGCAGGTTGACATGGACACTGTAAATAGAGCTGGAAGTACTTTGCTAACAGTGTTAAAGGGGCAGCTCTGCATAATCTCAGACTCTGTCTGCTCATTCTACACTTTGGGCATTAAACTGGCCACAAAGGAACTTAATCTGAACGCTTTGAACTCCAGTTCCTTGGTTACACTGGGAAGTACCTCGAGGCATTAGGTTACAAACAGTGATGCAACAGATCAGAAGTACCGATTCTTTCACCTGCTCCTTCAGAAGAGTTTCTGTTTTTGAGAAAAATGAGACCAACCTTATCATTTAGGCAGTAAAACTCGTAAGTAGGTAGCAGGCAAGTATAAATCACAGTGAGCACTGAAAAGGTTGCAAACATCACCAGAAAACTGCACGTGACAGGTTTGTGTAAATAAAATCCTGGGCTTGTCGTGTTTGTGCAGGAAGCTTTTGCTAACATTTAACTTCAGAGGAAATGGCTGGACTGTAACGACCAGAAAAACAACTCGGGTGAGAAAAGAGAGACAAAATGAGAGGTCCTCGTTGTTCACTTTAGCTTCAACCAAACAATTGGTTTAATTTGTAGCCATTCCATGGACGCATTCTGATAGGTTGGCTTTCTTTGCTACAAATAAATGCTGCATATCTAATATTAATTATCTACTTAATTAATATTAACGAGCACATTCAGAGTTGAGCGTTGACAGAACAGCTTTGACTTATCATTAAAAAGTACAAGGCACAAAACCTGAAGCATTCAGTTACATTCCTATGAAATAAATCTGTACCTGACATTATAAATATATTATGTACATGTTATTTGTTTTAACTTTTTTTAAACTGCATACTGTGTGTTTGTTACAAATATCTTTTATTAAAGATTCTGGAGGTGTAAACAAGGATGTAAATCATCTTCAGGACTTTTACTACTTAAAGCAAGTTGAGCCTGTTCAAAGTCTGATGGGTGGAAACGTGACTGTAAAATAAGTTCCGTCTCTCAGTTCAATAAACTTACAAGTGTTTTTTTGTTTTTCTGAGTTATCGTTCATGCTTTCCTCAAGTCTTCTTTGCAAACCAAATTTCAGTATCATTTCAATTTCTCTTCAGGTTTTAATCACCATCTACTGGCTCGGTCGTGCTGCCAACAGCTGTACCTCCTACAACGGGCCCACGCTGGACCTGAAGGAATTCGAGGGCTTGCTGTCACAAATGCGAAAGGTTTGAGAAGTCGCATGATGCAATATTTATGGATTAAAAATAGTAATAAATATCTGGGATACAGCTGATCCTAGCTGTAACTAAATGTCCAGACAGTGAGAGCTGAAGCAAGACTGTCTCTGCTTTACAGCTGATATTATATTTCCCAGAAATCATCTCAAGAAAAGGATGATCTCATCCACCTGCGGTCCAGTCGTGACCCGAGTAAAACCGGACTCTGGTGGAAATCTCAAGCTGATCAGAGGAAAGTTGGACGGGCTTGACAAACGTGCTCCATGCGACAGTTTGTCACAGCCGTGATGTCACCAACATGTGATTTATCCCACGGTCTGACAGTCCTGTTGCTGTTTGAAGAGAGGAATGACCGAACCAGTTTAACAGATGTTCACATGCTGCTCGTGCACAAAACAAAACCAGATTTCCTTCAATAGAAAATTACTGCAATAAAATAGGATTCAAATTTATGCTAAAGCTATTATTTCCAGTTGGCAGTGCATCATAGTATGCTCCTCAAACAGCCTTAAAAAAAATAAAAAACGCTGAATTTACAGAAAGTTTGATTGAAAAGCAAGAAGCAGGTGCACATTTTCATTGTTTTATATCATTTTATGAAAGCACTTTAAAGTTCTAAATATCACTTTTTTTACTTTAATTCAGTTCAGTTTATTTATGTAGCGCCACTGAACCGAAACATTCACGTACATATAAATTCAACTAGTAACATTATTAATCTAAGGAGCCAGCAGACGTGTTGAGTCCTAACTTCGTCACAGTCTCCCATCCTGAGCAAGCACAAAGGCGACAGTGGAAAGGAAAAACTCCCTCATAACAGGAAGAAACCTCCAGCAGAACCAGGCTCAAGACAAGTGTCCATCTGTTTCATTCAGCTGGGTTTGAGAGGACAGGAAGTAGAAACGGACACAGAATGACAGGTCCAGGATGGAGACGATCGGGTCTTCACTAGGAGGAAAGATGAAAAACGAATGTTAAGACAGAAATAATTACAAGTACAAACTATTCATTTGGTGAAATGAGGTCAGTTTGTCCTCTATTAGTCTAAGCCTATGCAGCATAGGATAAGGGATAGGTCAGGAAACCCAAGCCGACCTTAACTATAGGATTTATCAAAAAGTAAAGTCTTAATCCCAGTCTTAAAACTGGACAATGTGTCCGTCTCATGGACAGAAACTGGAAGTTGGTTCCACAAGAGAGGAGCCCGATAACTGGAAGGTCTTCCTCCCGTTCTGCTTTTGGAAACTCTAGGAACCACAAGTAAACCTGCAGTCTGAGAGCGAAGTGCTCTGTTAGGAAAGTATGGAACAACTTTAGTTCCATTTTAGTTTAACTTTAGTGGTATTTAACTTGCAGGAAGCTCTATTTTAAATCCACTCATGTTTCCAGGAGCATTTGAGCTTTTTAAGGCATTTAAAGGTAAAATGTTCTAACATTTCTGGTTCTGAATTAAAAGCAAGAATTTCTGTAGAAATTCCATCCATCCATCATCTTTACCTAGTTCTTTCTTTTCGGGTCGCGGGTGTCACTGGTGCCCATGTCCAGCCATCACTGTGTGAGAGGCGGGGTACACCCTGGACAGGTCTCCAGTCCACCACAGGGACAAATAGAGACAAACGAGCCAAACAACCATCCACTCTCTCTCTCACCTAGGGACAATTTAGAGTTACCAGTCAGCCTAACATGCATGTTTTTGGTATGTGGGAGGAAACCGGAGCACCCGGAGGAAACCCACGAAGAGAAAATGCAATCTCCACCCAGGATGATTCCCAGACTGGGATTTGAACCGGCGACTTGCTTGCTGAGAAGCAGCAGCTCTACCAACTGAGCCGCCATGCTGCCTTCTGTAGAAACTGATCTTGTTTTATTTTCAGAACAGTCTTAACTGCCAGGTTTCTCATCTTTTTTTAAACAATATTCTCTTTTCACAGACGCAGACATCTTCCACTTGTGGAGCCTGGAAGAAAACATAAATATTTGAGGCTTTACATGACAGAATACAGGGGTCAGGAAAAGGAACTCATTTGGCAGACAGGAAGGGTCTTTCACCACCTTCCATTAGTGACAGAAAAACATTTTATCCGTCGAGAGAAAAAGGAAAAGGTTACAAAGGTGGGGAGTAATGAGGAAGGATGTATGCAGAAGGTAATTGAAAAAGGTTGTTGACTAAACACGTGGGAGGACTTGAAGTTTGTTGAGATGAGACAACAATCTAAAGACTCGAGTTTGAAAAACTTCACTCACAAGAGAAAATAATGTTTGGGTGTTTTCAGGAAATTACATAACTGTCTTGTTAGTCAGCGTGCATGAAAAAAACATTGTGCGTAAATGTGTCCCTTCTCAGGAGGCAGAAGTGGCCGACAGCCCTACGTGCAGCATTCGGGACAGCGGCTACATCGACTGCTGGGACTCTGAGCGCAGCGACTCGCTCTCTCCTCCACGCCACGGGCGCAAAGATTCATTCGACAGCCTGGACTCCTTCAGCTCGCGCTCACGACAGACCCCATCACCAGACGTCCTGGTCCCCCGCGGCAACAGCGATGGTAGGAAGTGCTCCATTTTACACAGTTACCGTATTTTTCGCTGTATAAGTCGCGGGTTTTTTTTGCATAATTTACATGCCCTGCGACTTATACACTGAAGCGACGTAGTTATGTATTTTTTCCCATATTTATAAACCAATTTTTGGCTGAGATATGATCATTTTCATTCATTCTGACTGAAAATATTTTCAGCCACTAGATGGCAGTGGAGTAGTATGGCATGCAGTTGTGTCATGTAGTAAGTAAAAGTGGCTATTAATGACACAAACAGCTTGACATAGATGCCACCTTCGTTCTGCCCGCTTGGAGCAACCGTCAAATCAGTTTAATTTCTCTGCGCCGCCCCGGCGAAATGAAGCTGGTTTGACCATTGAAGTGCATTTATTAAGTAAAAGTTCAACTGAGACGCATCTTTACTATAATGTTGAGCAAACAAATAATTGTTTTAGGTGCTTATCTTGTTAAACTTCTAAGAAATGCACAGCGTTCCTCCTTCCTGCTTTCCTCCCTGTCTGCGCGCTCCCGGAGCACCGAGGCAGCAGATCCTTTGGAAATGCAGCTGATTTGACCGTCAAAGTGCATTCATTAAGCAAACGTTAGACTGAGACCTGCCTTTACTACAATTTAGAGCAAACAAATAAATGTTTTAAAGTGTTAATCTTGTTATATTATTCTTAAAGTCCTCCTGTGCACGCTCCCGCGGCCACCATTTGGCAGCCAATCGATTTTAGGCACAACACCAGCCCATATTTCTGGGTTCGGCCCACATTTCTGGGTTGTCAGCGGTGACGTGTAACAAACGCAACGCGTCAGCGGTGACTCATAATAGATGCGACCTATACGGCGAAGCGACGTGTTTATAGATTGTTCCACTTTATTAGACATGTTTGGACTGATGCGACTTATAGGGAGGTGCAACGTGTACGGCGGAAAATACGGAAATCTTCACTTCGGTCCATTAGACTTATCGTTTGGCAGCACGGTGGCTCAGTGGTTAGCACTGTTGCCTCACAGCAAGAAGGTCCTGGGTCCAATCCCCGGTTGGACCTGGGGTCTTTCTGTGTGGAGTTTGCATGTTCTTCTCGTGCTTGCGTGGGTTTTCTCCAGGTACTCCGGTTTTCTCCCACAAATCAAAAACATGCATGTTAGATGCCTTCAGGCCCAGGCCTCCCTTGTAAAAGAGATCTGTGATCTCAGTGGGATTTGCCTGGTTAAATAAAGGTTAATAAATAAATTGTTAGAACGAGCAGCCTTTAAATGAAAGTTTACTTAAATCTGTTGTGTATCCATTGTGTCATCAGTCAGAATCAGTCCTGGCTTTGTTTCTATAAGTCAAGGTGTACAGATAAAGTATATAGATCTATGTAGAGGTGCATTGTCCCTCTGTTTCCATTCCAGTAAAGCTTGTTGTTCTCCTGCCTGTGTTTTCACAGGCTCACGCCCAGCGTTGGTTAAAGGCTGTTTCTGTGAACTCTCTAAATTCCCTGCCTGTTTTAAAGCGACTTACTGTATGATCATTGTTTATCTTTAACAGGATCCATTTATGGGTTATAAATAGAAGTTCAGTGCCAACAATGGCGGTGTTGTTGAGGTCAAATTACGTTCACGCCACATTTCAGCTTCTTTCTCACAAGCTGATCACGTATTTCTTTATGTATGGCTCCTGAAATATGTGTTATCACCCACTACCAAAAACAACAATGTCTTTCCCAGTATCTGTGTATTTATCTGTCTGTTTGTGAAATATCTTATGGGCCAATAGACGATTATTCCTAAAAGTCTCAAAGTATTCTCTGGGTGTTTGTGTAGATCTGATTATCTTTAGAGATCAACCTCTAAGATGACCGCCACAGCTGAGCAACTTTAAGCAAACACAGAAATGGTTCTAACTCAACCAATTTTGCTGATATTGAGCTCAGATTGACCTGGTATTAAAACTTAACCAATAACTATCACATTCAAATCTGCCTGTTTGTAAGGAAAACGGCTCATTAATATTTCAATTAATCTTTTAGGAAGTAATCATCCGGTGTACATTTACAACTCATAAAATTTTCAATTAAGCTGCTTAATCATGCACAGCTAATCAACCTTAGTTAACACAAACGTGGTTAAACCTAGACATTTTTACATATTCTGAGCTACAGTGTGGTAGTTGCTGAGTGTCCTCATCCACATATGTCAGCCACTAACAGAATATGCAGTATTTTATGAGACTGTCCATAACTTCATTTACAAGCCTTGACCAAAACAATTATAACTTTGTCCCTCCTCACCATGGTATTATTTAAGTTTAAAACCTCTGGCATGAAAATTGGCAAGTAATTCTACATTACAGTAGTCCCTCGTTTATCACGGGGGATCCGTACCCTGAAGACCCGCAATAATTCTCACACTCTTGCAATATTATAAACAATGTTTCTAAACGCTCTAAAAGACACGGAATGTCATGATTTCAGCTCCCTGCCTCCGCTGCTCTTTGCCACCTGCAAGCGCTCTTGGCCACGCCCACTTATCTGCTCTGCATGGTGATCAGCTGATCAGCTGCAGCAGGAAGTTTATCCTGCAGTATGGGCTGCACAAATGTGCAGCAGGTGCTAAATAATTTTAAATAATTTATTTTAAATAAAAAATCCTTGCCGACCGTGCGGCTCATCCATCAGTCAGCTAATTGTGTCATGTCCAGTCTTATTTTGAAAAAACGCGATGGAGCGAATCCGTGATAAATGAACCGCGAAGTAGCGAGGGACTACTGTACTTCAAGGAAAACTAGACCTCAGACCAACAACATGCATGTTAGGCTGATTGGTAACTCTAAATTGTCCCTAGGTGAGAGAGAGAGAGTGAATAGTTGTTTTGTTTGTCTCTATGTGTCCCTTTGATGGACTGGAGACATGTCCAGGGGGTCCCCGCCTCTCGCACAAAGATAGCTAGATATGGGCACCAGTGACCCCGTGACCCAAAAATAAAGAAATGTGTAAAAGATAATGGATGGATGGATGGATGATTTTAGATAAACAAGAAAAAAGTGTTTCTGAATCATTTGTTTCTGTATAGATTACAGATTAAAATGTATTCAGTTTATATTCTGAGCACGAGTTTAATCACTGTATACCTGCTCAATGAAAGTCATAATGGATGTTATCTATATTGTGTGCAGGTACATTTGTGAATTTGATCCACACTCCATTAATACAGTTATGAATGTTTCGCTTCTTTTCACGTGGGAGTAATAATCCTGCAGACAGTGTTAAATCTTTGAACACAACAGAAAAACTTGACTTTTTTATGGTTTGAAACAGTTTTTAATGCAAAAACTCGTGCGCTGCTTCTGGAAACTGTTGATTGCTCTGCAGTTTGTTAATTTGACCTTTTAAATATTTAACAACGGTCTATAAAATATCACAGCAGTTGTTGGGATATAAACTTCAGTGCTGAACTGCATGTGGGAAAATACAGTGTGTCATAATGAGGCTGCGCTTCCTGTTTGTTGCTTTTTTTAGAGGAGAAAGGGAAACTGCTGTCACCAAATTCAAGGCTGTTATCAAAATGGAGGCCTTTAAAACTTATGAGGATTTTGGCGTTCAGTTTGTGATAATTAATAGAAATACACCCTGTGGTTTTACTTTAACAGCAGGAAAATCCTGGCTTGTACTGTGATGGTTTTCGGAAGTTGAAGAAAACCAGACTAATTGCATTTCCTGCAGAAATGTGCCATGAATGATTATTGCTGAATGATTTTTGCTGAAAGCTGCTGAAGAAGCTGAAACAGGCTGAAAAGGTTTCATCTCTAAACCATTATTTGTGAGTTGAATTTGATTAGCTGACATTTGCTAAAAGCAGGAAAATGAAAACAGCAGGAAAAATGTCAGAATTGTGTAGATAAAGCTGAATAAAGCAAACATGTGCCTGAAATGAGCAGATTAAATTGAGATGGACAGAGACCGACTGAATACAATTCAATTTAATAATAATAATAATAGATTACGAAAATCTGAAATTAGCAAAAAGAAAACAAATTGACTAAAAAGGGTAGCTGAACAAGAAAAAATAGCTGAAATCAGCAGAGTAGCTGAAAGATGCAGAAAGGGTAGAAATTAACCAAATAAAATAGCAGAAAGAAGGCTCATATTAACAGAAAAAATATCTAAAAAGTACCTGGAAAAAGCTGAATTTAGCAGAAAGGAGCTGAAGGAAGCATAAAAAGCTGAAATTATAGCACAATAAGCTGAACAGGCTGAACCAGAAGAACAGCTGAAACGAGCATTACAATGTTGTAAACAGCTTAAATGGTTAGAAAACTGTGAAGAGAGCTCTGTTCATTTTCAATTAAAAAAAACTTGCCTGAAAAAGCTAAATATTTCAAAAAGTACAAATTGCACAGATACCAAAAGTCGTAGCAGGAATGTCCTGAATGAACATTTTGATTTATGAATTGTGGAAATAGAACAAAAACTGCAGAACGAGTTACGTGCTGAAAAAAAGAATCACAATAGTGTGAATGCCTTATAAACGTTCACACAATAACTTCTGCAGTTTTACCTTTGAAACAAAATGCTAAACAAAGACCATAAAACTTAAAGGCAGTAATAATCCCGTGCAGAAAGCCGTTACAGTGATGAGACTGTTTTTCTGTTGACTCAATAGATCAGCATGCACAGCTGCCTCCAGGCCTCGTCCTCAACCTTACTGCTCAAGATTTACTCACCAAGAGAAAGTCGGGATGATTAGTCACATAGTCGAGGTTAATTCATGTTTAGAATAGTAAAAAGCTTCATAAATCTGCATATTTTCCTGAACTTTATGGGATTGTGCTTATTAGATCATCACATCAGTGTTTGGATCAGAGCCTCGGGCACAAACTAGAGAGAAGGAAACCATAAAACAATAATCGAGTCACAAAACACTTGGACGACACCCACAGCAACAACTCCTATTTATTAGCGTCCATGCGAACATGACACATTTTCCTGACTAAACCCGTTCTGTAACAAGTGAACACATTGAATAGTTGAATTTAGTCCTAAAAATAAATTCAGTATTGGAAGCACTCGTTGGTCTGAGCCAAGTCTGCAGATAGATACAGCTTTGATAAATGAGTCATTTTAGGATTTTGGTGCTTTGATTGTTTTCTAGTTTTGCAGATAAACTGTGAAAGCATCATCAAACGATGAAACTACAACGATGTTTTCTAGAAAACATGGCGTCAAGCTCGGCTTTGTTTTCATCTGTTGCCCATGTGTTTTCACACTGCTGCTTCATTTAGACTTTATAACTCATTAAACTCATGACTTTATGTAATAACTTGAGATCTAACTTCTCACACACTGACTGTGACAAACTATAGAAACTTCATCTTTATGGGTACTTATTCACTTTGACAATAATATATTTGTTAATTATGATGCAGTAGAGAAGTGTACTGCATTTTGCTGCTATAAATACTACAAATGACATGCAGAAGTTTAGAACGTAGAATAATTAAATTTTACATTAAAGCTATTTAAAATTTAGCGGACTTTGCAGTTGCAGTTTATTTATAGGCTTGTGTAAAAAATAAAAAACATGAATGTATTGTAGGCTTCTTCCAGCCTTTTAGTTGCACTGAAACATCTCAAACTAGACTCCACAATCATTCTTGTTTGATGAGTGCGTGCTGTTAATTACTGCTGTATGAGTCAGGGGTGTAAATCCTGGAGATCATGAGATTTCTTACTGAGCTGAAAGTGTCATGTGAAGCAATCAGAGTGAGTTTTTCTGGTGAAATTAGCGCTGAAGATGTTCTTCACTTTAAACTGTCGGTGCGGCAGCAGACCTATCAAACACAAAGTGCGACACATCACCAAGTTGTGTGAGAGCAGCTTTCTTCACTCCTCCTGCAGCCTGTGCAGGTAGGTGCTGGCAGAGTCTCTCCGTCATCCGTTTGTGTCGAGGTCAAACAGCAACTGTTGACTTAAAAGACAAAAAATAAGTTTGAACCACTGCTTCTTGGGTCTTCACCTCAGAGCGGGTCAAAGATGAAGACCAACTGTCTCTGTGAGTGACGAAGGTAACCCAGGTGTTGAGGACGACACACATCCAGTGTCTTCGAATGGGTCAAGGTCGACCTGCCATTGTGTAGCTGTTCCTCCTTCCTGTTCCTCTCAAACCCAGCCGGTCGAAGCAGATGGCCGCTTGTCTGGTTCTGCTAAAGTTTTCTACCTCATGAGGGAGTTTTTCCTTTCCACTGTCGCCTTCGTGCTTGCTCAGGATGAGTGTTCTGTGATGAAGTTAAACTCCATGCCAGTGCACGTCAGCTTTTGTTCCATTCTTCTCTGGGTCTTGAGAGTTTCTCATGCAGCCAGCAACAGCAGCTGCTCTCCCTAAAGTTCCCATGTCTGCTTCTCCGCCTGAACCTTCAGAGGTCTGCGGTGCAGTCAGAAGAGGCTGAACTCAGGGTGCAGCCCAAGCCTCCAGGGTCCTGCTCACCAGGGCTTCCAGGGTTCTGCACGCTTGACTCTTGTTGCGTCTTAACTTCAGAGAGGGTCAAAGACGAAGGCAAAGACCCACCTTCCAGTGTCTCTGTGGGTGCTGAGGATGACCAGTCTTCCAGTGTCTTCAAGTCGGACAAGGACAACACTGATCGTTCTTGTGCTCTCGAGCAAGTCGAGGTCATTCCTAAACCATCCACCTCCCAACAATTGTCAGCTGCAGCCTTATCGCCTGTCGCTGCACTGCCCTCCTCTGTCCCATCATCCACCGCAGCACCTTCCTCTGTGGTCACATTGTCCGCTGCAGTACTGTCCATTGTGGTTCCACTGTCTGGTGCAGATTATTCTGCCTCATGCCTCTCCTCAGTCTCTCTGCAAGGGGGTCCAGGGGGATTCCTCTCTGCCTGTGGTGGATGGGCCTCAGGCTGTCCACCTGAACTCTTGCCCCATGATGGATTGGTCCCAGATCATTCACCTGAAGTGTTGCCCAGTGCTGGAGGGGTCTCTGGGCCGTCCCCCTGAACTTGTGCTGAACTCTAGACAGTTTTCTGGCGGTCCTCCTGAACTCTGCCTCCTCTGTGGACATGCCCAGGGTCGTCCATTTATACTTTTTTGTTGTTGGATTGTTTAAGTTTCTTTTTTAGTTTAAGTTTCTGATCCTCATTGTTCTTCTCCAAGTGTTTATTGTCTTCCATTAGTGGCTCTTTAAATACTGGTTTGTTTGTGCATTGTGCCTTACACATGTTGTCCTTTCGAGTTTTTCCAGTGCTTTTTTTCTAGTGAGTGTTTTTTGCATCAGCTCTTTGCTTTACTTTGTAAATAAATTGATTTTTATTTTACGTTTGAGTCTTTAAGTTTTGTCTGTGCCTTTGGTTCAACTCCTCATCTAAACATGATCGTATGTAGACTTCTCTAAAAGTCTGGTGTAGTAGGTCTCCACACAAATGAAGAGGTTCCTTCTGGCTCTGTGTTTCCATGTGTACAGAGAACACATCACTCCATGAATACACATGTTGCTCCTTCAACATGGATCAACAGAGAAAAAGGAGAGACGTTCATGTTTCCAATTGACGGGTCGAGAGTCAGAACCATTTATAACTGGATGCGCAGATGTCTCAAAGTCTTTTTTGGCTCTTGATCTGTCGATTCTAACAACCGTACGAAACGTTTATTAATAGGAAGACGGCTTTCAGAAGTTGCATGCATCGTTCGTTTCCATCAGCACATGAGACTTCTTCCACACGTTTCTGATACAAGAAAACTTTACGGCTTAGATCTGGATGAAAGTGTGGGTTTATACTGTTTCTACACTTTGAGTCATAGTTATATTATTAGAGGATAGGGTTAGGACATATTGAAGAGGAATTCACCCCACCAAGTAGGGAAAGTCCTTGAGTAGTGCACATCTGTAAATCCAGGTGTTATGAGTGATATTAAAAAGCTAGCAATGTGTTTAAATCTCAATAAATACAGATAAACTGGCATCTTGTATAAAATCTTCCTAACTTTAGGCTAAGATGTAGTTAGCACAAGCTGCACAATGCAATGATTTATGATACGTGCTTTGTTTCATAAACACAGCCTACCAGCCTGCTCAGGTGTGATTGATGCTCTGCCGCTGGAATGCCGTGAATTTAATAACACCGTAAGACTGCTGTGAAGCCTATAAGATCTAACAGCTGGCAAACGTTTGAGATTTTAAAAAGTAAGTCTGGAGTATCTGCCATGAGGCTCATCAATCCACAGTTTTCTTTTGAACTCGGATGTGGGCCTATCCTCCCTCAGCTCCTGCTTAACAATGACTCGGAAAACTAAGTGTTTTTTATTGCATAGGACCTTTAAAGTGGAGACGACGTCTGTTTTTAAACACGTTCTAGGTGAGAAGGTTTTGACATTTTGTGTTTTGTCTGATGTGCAGCGAAAAGCCCCAGCAGCAGTGTTACTGTGGAACTGTGTAAATGAGAGCATCATTACAAAGTCTGCTTTTAAAAAGCCCTATAAATTGGAATATTTGATACAGCAGCACGTTGTTTGTTCATGTAATGTGCTCTTCACAGCATGCAGATGATGAAAGTCAGGTCGCAGAGTGTTTCTGCAGTGAAGCTGAATCATCCCTTCAATATTGTCTCCAACATTTCAGTCTGATTCCTACAGTCCTGAATTAAAGTTCCTTCCATCTGCAACAAATTATCCCTCGTATAATAGTGAAAACCGATTAAAGGGCTGGTGTGAGTTTCCATATAAAGTTACAATATGAGCCTTTTAAACCTTTGAACAGTAGCCGTCACCTACTTTTTATTATGAAATGTGAAACCGTTCTATTGTTTTTGTTTTAGCTCTGAAGTTTACCTGAATATGTTCACACATTCAGGTAAATAAGGTATAATAAGGTGTTCATACTGTTGCTATGTTTGTGAGAATCCATGCAGACAAATGTTCAGTGTAATTTGTGAAATTGTTTATCTTTCCCTTTCAATCCCCCTCAGGCCGAGGCAGTGACTCGGAGTCTGACGGCCCCCCGTACAGGAAGGTGCTGGACCTCCATAAAGACGACATGTTGGCGCGGCGGACGTCGGTCACCGAGCTGCGCACCGCCATGCCCTTCAACCAGTACCTGCCCAACAAGAGCAACCAGAGCGGATATGTGCCGATGCCGCTCCGCAAAAAGAGAAACGATGAGGAGGGAGGACGCAAGAGCTGGAGTACCGCCACTTCACCTGTAGGGGGGGACAGACCCTGCAGGTAAGTCTGAAAATAAATGATCGGAGAGGAGACATAAAACTTTCGCTCTGGTTGATCCATTTCAACTGTATTTTTATTTACAGATAAACTTAAGTACATTTTGCAAACATACTTAAATTTATAAGTTTTATTTTACACATTAACTTTGGATCAACTAACAATTGAAATCTCAGCTGTGAAGAACATCAAATCCAAATGCAACGTTTGTTTTTGCACATTTGTCAGATTAAGTAAAAGTTGTGGACTTTATCAGTTAGAAGTGTTGTTAAAACTCGATGCACAACTCCGTCAGGCGGGGTCGGATCCTGCTGTGCTTCATCCTGACGCAGGTGAACCACTTCCGTTCATAACAAAAAGTATTTTCCTTATTAAAAACACTTGGCTAAAACATTAGTTTAAGTGTGTTATGGAGAAGATAATCATTAAAATGAATATATGAATATAGTAAAAGTAGAACTGTAGTGGAGACAGAAATGACACAAATCATTTCTTGTGTAACTTTTGCATCGGGGTTCTTTCTAAATGTCAGGAGAATGTGTCGCGCACGTCGACGTGCATATTTCAGAAGAGAAAACTTTCAGCTGCTGATTATTTGTCTTCGTCCAGTCCGGAACAATCGGGAGTGGCTGATGGAGACCAGATGTGTGTTTTCATTGGCTCACGTTGAAGCTCAATTTGCTACCGAGTCAAAAATTTGGCAACTTTGAGACGAGGAAGATTTTTGGCTTTTATCGGTTCGAAACATGAACACCTGCAGGCTCCAGGTTCAAAACTGTCACAGAAAGTTTCAGATGCATCTTTCCTGTTGGATTCTGAAGCATCTTTTTTAATAAACTGTGATGTATTGTTGTTGCAGGACTGGAGTTTTTACGGGCTGATGGTTTAAGTTCAGGATGACTTGTTACTTTAGCTGTGCTGAACAACAGCAGCAGCAGATTTATTAATAAAAGACAAATATCTGTTTAGTCGTGCGTTACAGTTTATATTCCACCAGGAAGAAGTGTGTTGTGTCTGCTAACATCTAATCTACCGCAAGTTTACTACTAATGTTGCTTTAAATCATTTTTCATTTGTTTCCCTTTGTCCTCCTCTCCTGAACTCATCGTTTCCTAAACTTTCTCCTCCTCCTCTCGTCTGAACCAATTTCCACCTCCTTTGAGTTTGTTTCTCCTGACCGTCTTATTCTCTTCTAATGTCCCTAATTCTGCACAAATTGTCTTTCTATCCTGTGTTGGGTTGTGTGAATGGGTCATGCATCAGTCCAAATGAAGTACCTAGGTTAGTCCTCCCCCCAGGAGATTCCCTCAGTCCACCTCCTCTAGAACCCCAGACACAGATTCAGGAGAACCAGAGTAAAAAGGATGATCAGGAGGGGGGACAGAGTTCATCGGTACCTTTCTTTAACCTCCACGATGTGGGCATAAGAAGGAGCAGTGAGCCTCTGCCCCAGACCCACACAGAACCCCCCAGAGAGACCAGAACTCCCCTGCAGGTCACGTCTGAGCTAAGGTCAATACCTTTATCTGATTTGTTTTTTCTAGTTGTTTTTCATTTTAGTTTCTATGAAAGAAATCAGTTCTAAGCAGTAATGATTGTGTTAATTAGTTTTATTCTATTTGCAAAATTGAAGTAGAGTTATAAATAAATTAAAACTTTTAAGGTCGGCAAGAAATTCAGTCTTTTCAGTCGGTTGTCGCTTCCTGTTTCAGCTCAGCGCTTTGAGTCAGTTACAACTGAGCATTAAGTCTAAAGAAAAATCAACAGCTGGACGACTAAAGACTTCCCATCCAGGAGGTTTCATCGATTAGACACAAACTAAAGTGATAAATATCCGGTTAATTTGTATCATCAAATTATTTTACTTGATTTACATCTTTTTTTTTTTTATAAACACTGCTGATTAACCTCACTCTAAAATCACAAAAAAGGTTAAATCAGGTCATCTGGACAGTTTCTTTCTGGGAGAAACATTTTGTTTTTTTATCTGAAAGACTTCATCAGTCTGAGGCCTGCCGTCCCAGACCTGTCTTTTAAATAGAACCTCAATGATGTGTTTCAAACCAGCCTCCTCTAAATGGCTTTACACATGCAAAACTGGACCATCCATCCAAAACTGTCGACCATCATGCATGTTCAAACGTTTTAGGCCTGATGGCCAACTTGCTACTCACAGAAACCGCCTGAGGACACCTGGCCAAAATGGTTCAGAAAAAGGTTTGAAAGCTCAATCATGAAGGTAGATAAATCACAAAAAGGTTAAATCAGGTCATCTGGACAGTTTTGTTTTGGGAGAAACGTTTCGTTTTTATCCATTTTGGCCAAGTGGGAGTAGCAAGTTGGCCATGTGGCCTAAAACATTTGATTTTTGTATGTGATGATTGATTGCTTTGGACGGATGGTCCCATTCTGTGCATGATAAACCAGTTTCTGGGAATTCCCCTGCAGGCTGGCTGCAACACATCAAGGAAGTGATCTGGGTTGGCAGTAGAGCTGTCATTTCTAACCCGGGACCCGGCCCAACGTGGATTAGGGCTGAGTTGGGCTTTTGATTGTGTCAGCGGATGCGCACAGCTGACAATCCAGTTAAATGGCAACATGGCTTGCCATATAATCGCCTGCCATACATCACATTTTTAAAAATTTATTTTAACCGGCCGGTCAGCACGCAGCCGTTTGACCGCGCGCTGACCGGCTGGTTGGAATAAATTTTTTAAAGTTCAGTTAATCTTCTGATGGACTACTACCAGTGATCCAACCAAAGTCCAAATGGATGTTCAGCCTGCACTCGGCGGACGTGCACGGCCGATGACCCAAACAGGTGAGATCCCAAAATATCCTCGCAGACATCAGAGCACGGTCCGTGTCTGAATAATGCAGAATGCAGCAGAAGCAGGGATTTAATGAGCTTTGACGGCCATGAAAGGACAAACACCCCCTCAGCTCCGATCTTCCGCCCCTTTATTCAGTTGCACGTGTCCGCCGACCGTTAATGACTATAAGCAGTCAGCGCTTAATTAAAAATGACAGTTTCTTTTTCAGGTTCAAACATGTACTGTTAATTCGTCGGGTCGAGTGGGGTTCAGAAATGATGGCTGGGGCCGGGTCGGGACTAATTTTTTTGGGCCTGAATGCAACTCTAGTTAAACCTCAGACTGATTAAGTCTTTCAGTTGAAAGAAGAAACGTTTCTCCCAAAAAGAAACTGTACAAATGATGATTTAACCCTTTTTTGTGACTGGAATGATTTAATCAAAATGTTTTTTTGTTTTTTTTTATTTGGGAAAAAAAAAGTTCCAGATTTTACAGCTGGATATTCAATCCACCCGTCTTGCTCTTTGTCACTCGCTGTAATCAGATCCGATTTTCCACCGTTGTTCTTATTCAGCAGCAAAGCAGTAAGTTTTCAAGAGGCTTTGTGCACATTTAAACCATGTTAGGACACCTTGTCCGGAACATTTGACCTTTTGTTTATTAAATAGGACAAAGTTTTTACCCAGCAGCCCTCCCTGAGCCACAGATTATGTCTTGTGTTTCAAGCAACAAGGTGAGTTATGAACCGTTGGAGCACAAAGCCGTTTTTAAATTCAGTTTTCAATGTTCCAGTTGGTTTCAAGACTGAAAATTGATTTCTTCATCATATAAATTTAAGGCTCTTATGTTATTTCATAACCAGCCTTATCCGGTGTTGTTTCTGTCTAAATCTTGTTTCATTCACAGTCCTGTTGGTCTCTTGTTGCAGGTCACGCATCGTCTTCCTCTTTTCTCGTTTGTGCTTCAGATATTTTGGCTTTGATTATGTAGTAACTGTACATTTTTTTAAGAATATGTATATTTGTGTCCCACAGACGTTTCAAGGATGTTTTTAACAGCTTGAATGCGGGACCTTTTACTGTAGGTTCACTTTTGGCCTTCACATTTTTCCAGAACAAAATTCTTCTGGACTGATTTGTTTGTGTTTAAAATTTTCTGTATAACTTAATTTAAGGAAAAAGGTCCAGGTTTGTTTGTTTGACAGATTTGTTGTTATTTACAAAATAAAAGCGTATTATGGAGCAATATTCCTAGAAGGCATACATTTCTCCCATCACAGGTTAAAGTTTTAAACAAAGGTGTCAGGAGATCTGATGGAGCTTGGATTGTGTACTTTTGGATAACTCTCAGCGACTACCACACCAAAGTTTAGCTCAGTGTCTGTAAAACTGAGTTTTAGACATTTTAGTATTGCCTAATGTTGGTTGGCTGTGGTGGCCATCTTGAACAGTGTTCATTTCAAAGATTGATCAGTTGTAATTAATTTCATGGATTTTCATTAAAATTTGTCCAGTGGTATATGGAATATTTTGCTAACAGGCAAAGTAAACAAACAATTTCATGATCACCCACCTTCTATGGCAGAAAATGATAATAAAAACAGTGATGACTTCTAACCTTACAGTGGTGTGGGCTGGGTGATGGATGGATGGACGGACAGATGGATGGATGGATGAACAGATGGATAGATGAGCGAATCAACAGATGGATGGATGGGGATGAATGACTGGATGGTTGGATGTATGGATGGTTGAATGAACAGATGAATGGATGGACTGATGGATGGATGAATAGATAAATGGACAGATGGATGGATGAATGGATGGATGGACAGATAAATGGACATATGGATGAATGGATGGATGGAGGAATGAACGGATGGATGGACAGATGGAAGAATGTATAGATGGATGGATGGATGGATGGAGG